CCTTGCGCGAGTCGCATCACGGGCCTGGGCTGCCCACTCCTCCTCTGCAGGAGTCGGAAACATTCCCAAGGGCTTTTCTGGTCCTGATTGTTCTCCTTGGACAACTTTTCCAGGAAGGGAAGTGTGCTAGCCCATAATACCCCCAGGGGATCCCGACTCCCTGGGTAAGGGCTTCGAGTAGACACCTGATCACAACTGTCCTATGGGGCATCTAGTCCTGAAACCCCAACAGTTATGAGTGAGGCCAGCAGGCTCCGCACTGAGCTGGGTGCAGGGTGCACAGAGGACAGAGGACATGCTGGGAACCACCAGGCAACACCCAGGGTGAGTTGTGAGCTCAAGGAAGATAGGCTCTGTCTTTGTGATTGTGTGTGTGTTGCAGGGCCCTGCAGGACGTCTGACTTTAGGTCTAGGCACAGATTGTAGGCACGGGGAGGACTGGCAGGGACACCTAGCCCGACCTTTGGAAAACAAGGGCCAAGGAATCTACCCAGGGTCACACAGGAAGTTAGCAAGACATGTGACACCAAACCCTCATGTGAGGACCCTTCCATGCCCTCAAGGGTATCCTAAGATCTTCAGCCAGAGCCACTGGGTCAGCTGAAGGGACAGCAGCGTAACCTTCTGAAAGCTCCCACTGATGTGAGCTGTTGTCTGGACCCATCACGAAGACTTAGAAATGCCCAGGCTACTTCCCTATCTGCCTGCCTCACCGTTGCCAATTTCCCTGATCTGCCAGAGAAAACCTCTTGCTCTTTCCTGCCTATGACCCTGTTCTTTTTTTTTTTTTTCTTTCACTTTTCGCTTTGGGGTCTCACTATGTTGCCCAGACTGGTCTCAAACTCCTGGGCTCAAGCAGTCCTCTCACCCTCTCACCTCAGTCTCCCGAAGTGCTGGGATTACAGGCCTGAGACACCACATCTGGCCAGCCTTTCTCTTTTCTTCTGATCCTCTGCATGCAATTTCTTCCTACCTCGATTCTTTTCTCTATATTTTCTCCCTACCTCCTCACAGTTCAGGTGCCTCACGGTCTGGAGAGCAGAGATCAAAGGGCATCTCATCCATGGCCTTCCTGGACCAGCCATCTAATTTCCAACCACCAGATGCATTCCCATGACAGCCATACTTCCTGCATCACTCAGGGACAGATAATCCCACTGGTCCGTGCTGGGGTTTTGGAGAGAGGTTTTCCTAGAGTGTGATGTAGCCTCAGTCACTTCCAGAAGGATGTGTTTTCTTGGTACAGGAAGGGCTTTGCTTGGTTCAGTCAGTAGCCCTGTCCAGTGAGATTCAGCCTAACCTTCCTGCAGGAGGATGCCCTGTTTCTTCCTTGGGCAATTGGGATGCCAGCTGGCAGGAGTTCCGAGTTCAGATGCCCTAGAGGTCCAACCAGGTTAAGTAAGGACCCTGGGCCAGTGCAGCCCCTCTCTACCTGCTCCTTCCTAATTCAGGCCCAGACTCTGTAGAAGAAGCTTGGAAGCTGTCCCTGACCCCGGCCCAGCCCACATGCCCCTGCTGTACACCCATCCTGTTCCTTTTCTGCATGGAACTTATCAAGATAGTGTTAATTATAGCAGTGGAGTACAAATGCCTTAGCTATACAGTAAACCCACATGGGGAAGAAAGCATGACCATCTTGTCTGCGTCAGGCATAATAGATGCTCAGTAAACATTTGTGCAATGCTTGAATGAATGTCTTCTCCTGTTTGTCTCTGAATGTTTCTAAGAGTATGCAAGTCATCACATGAAAGACAGAAACCTGCTAAACTTCTTTGCCTGTCCTGCTAGGAGACGCTTTGTACTCACAACGTCCCCCTAAGCAGAGGCCAAGAATGCACGTGGGCATTACTATGGTGACACCTGCACCTGTTCTGAGCTTTAGTCTCTCAGAGACCATCAGAGGTCAGTGAGAGAACAGTATCTAGATTCTTTCCAGGGTATTGTTGTGGCCTCATCACACAACATGGAGATTAGGAAACTGGGCCACCCCCTTGGGCATGTAGCTGTCTCTGTGGGTCTCATTTTCTTCATCTGTCAAGTGAGGTTAAGAATGTCCCTATTTCTTTTTTTTTTTTTTTGAGTTGGAGTCTCACTCTGTCACCCAGACTGGAGTGCAGTGGCTGCTCCCGGCCACCGCAGC